GTTCAAACAGGTGACTCAAAAGATTAGTCAGATTGGCATTGATTCTGATTATTTATTCTCTAGGGGGTATGACATCAGCAATTCAGTGTATCAAATTAGAGTATAGGATAAATTGGTACAGTAATGAAAGCCAAATTATGGGGTACATCTGCAGCATTTGAAACTGATTATAGACGTATTTTTCAACTCCCTAAACAAACAGCTTATACTTTAGTAAATACAGAATCGCCAATTCAAAAGCTAGATTAAATGTGTTGCCATCAAATATGCTGTAGGGTGGGTTTCAAAAAATCCTCAAATATTTTGCCCCTGTAAGAATACTGATCCTGAAATTGATGTATTTGTGGAAATTATTGTATGAGTTTTCAACAAAAAGATATGTGGCCTATTTTAAAATCTAAACCAAGAAGACATATTTCCAAATATATGTAAAATTTTAATTTGCAATGAAAATCCTAATATTATAGTGGCAACAGCCAAATCTTAAACTAGGTTTTGGGGAACAAAAAATCAATGAATTGGCGTTTTAAGTCTTTTATGTAATATTTTTTTAAACATTTTACATGTTAAACTTTTTCAAGTATAACAATAGCAAGTTTATGGTAGTTTTACAACTTGCTTTTGGGCCTTCTGGCAATAAGTAACATTGATTAGAAATCATTGATTGATTTATAAGGATTTGCCAGCAGAAAAGAAAACTTTAGTTTGTGATTACAAGTGGTACCTTGCAGTTTTTCTCTCTCCTCACAACCTTCTTCATAAAGCGCATGTAGCGTTTAATGCTTTGTTTCCCAGCCATGCAAAATGAATTTAAAAGTTTGTTTCTGCTACTATCTCTTATTTTCCTTCCATCAAAACAAGTGTCAAGTTAGAATTCTGTTTCTGCATTTTTTAAGAAAATGAAAAATATACAAGTACCATACCAATTAATTATGTCTATTTAATTCAGTACTGTATTCCCTCAGCAGACAAATTCCTAACATATATTCCCAAAGCCGCCATGCCCTTTTCTTCTCTTCCCTAAACTTTGTATCACTTCTTCCAGTTAGAACTCCTGGTTTCAAAACGTTCTCTTTTTCCTTCTCTCCTTACTCGTTTGCTTATTCCTTCTCCAAGATAAGTTCTTCCTTCTTTTACAAAGGAAAATGGAAAGAGGGAACACTATGTATCCTGTATTCAAATCATGAATGGAAAGCAGGATACGAATCCATCAAATAAATATTTCCATTAATTTAAATAATTTGTAATGGGAGCTGGAGCAGGGGTGGGTTCTATTTACTTTTACTATCGGTTTGCAATGGGGCCGCGCACACACTCTTCTGCGCATGTGCAGAAACTTTTGAGCATGCACAGAAGCGTTCTGATGACGTTGGGCTCGGTGGGCGGCGCCTCCCTCCGGTTTTACTATAGAACCGGTTTGAACCAAGGGAAACCCACCCAGGGGTGGGTTCTAAAATTTTTTACTACCGCTTCTGTGGGCGTGGCTTATTTTGTGGGTGTGGCTTGATGGTCATGTGACAATTATTTAGGATTTAGCAGAGGTACTGGTCTACCAGGCTTTTAACTGCTTGCAGAGCTGTACCGATCTACCCATTTATTTTTTGCAGGCACTGATCTACTCATGTATTTTTGCAGGCACTGGTCTACTCATGTATTTTTGCAGGCACTGGTCTACTCATTTATTTTCTTTTAACACTGATCAGCTGTAGGACGGCCCTTTAAAGCCCCGCGGCAAGAGTTTAAACAGTTTTTTTTCCTCTAGCCATCAGCTGGGACTCAGGAGGCAGCAATAGATTGGGGTGGGGCCAAATAAAAGGTAAGAATAACACAGGGGTGGGTGGGGGGCACGGGGGTGGGTGAAGGGACTGGGGGTGGGGGGAAGAACCGGTTCGGTGACATCATATCGTCACCGCTACCGGCTCGGGAGAACTGGGCCAAACCGGGAGGAATCCACCACTGAACCCACCACTGGGCTGGAGGGACAACAGTTTTGACTTCTAGAGACTGTCTGGATAAGTTCCTGCAGTTTTCTTGGCATGATTTCCATGTATTTTTCCATTGCTGCTGCTTAGAACTGAGAGAAAGGGGCAGGTCTAAGGATATACAGCAAGCTTTGTGCCTAAGGCAGGACTAGAACTCACAGCCTCATGGTTTCTAGTTTATTGCCTTAACAACTACTACAGCCGTTTGGCTCTCCTTTTACTACTCTACTCATCCTTATTTTTCAAAGCTATTTATATTATGTTTCAAGCTAAGAAGCAACACCTGTCTGACCTCAAAGGTGGGTTCAGTCCTGATTAATATATGGATGGAAAACACTAAGAAGAAGTTGAAAAAGGAAGGCAATGGAAAACCTCTTCTGTAATGCTGCCAGGAAAATGTCATGAATCACCATGAATTCAGCATTTCAAGAAGTCACCATGAGCTAAGCTTGAGTTTACAAAGACTTTGCCGTTTATATAATTTTGGTAACAATTAACAAATGTTAAGCATTTATCTTAGCTTGACTTTTGAAAATGCTTAAATTCGTTCAAGAAAGAAGCTCGTCCATTTGTTCAAAATGATAATGCATTAAGTATCAGTCTGTGTAAGCCACTTCCTTGCAGTTTTGAACAAAATTGTTCAGAAGCTGTTGAAACAATCCCAGGGGTTACTTAAAACAATAGATGAAAATGCTGCAACTTTTGTTCTTAGACATTTAAAGACAGCAAGAGCACTGCAGGCATCCTGGTTTTTAATTAAGCTGTGATTATGGATAATTGTACCTCTAACTACTGGATTGCAAATACTGTGTAACTCTCATTCCTATATTGTAAGGGCATCATCTTCAGTACCATTATAGTTCCAGAAATTCAATGTTTTAATTGTCAAAAGTAAATTCCAACTAACTAATAATTTGATTTGATGCCGATGTACTTTAAAGAATGAATTCACGTTTATTTATTTCTTACAGTGATTACTAAATATCAAAAGTCTATCTTCATTTGAACTAGTAATCTAATATATATTTCTGCAAGACAACCACATGAACCAATAAATCTATTTATATTTCAACAATTATGTAAAGACTTTGTGTGGTCAGACTGAATTCAATACAAAACCCAGCCTTGTTTTTGGTTAAAAATTACAAAAGTGAAAGAAAAGTTCGCAATTCATTTGGGGGCAGTAGGCTTCCTTCATTGGTCTCGGTGGTTTCACTTCAGCAAAGTGAAAAACTTGAGATTTGGCTGCCTTGAAATGGTCTTTTCTCACAAACTTTCAAATAAGATGAATGGATTGGACTCCTCTAAGTCCAACATTGGAGGAGAATGTGGAGAGGTGGTTTTTCTCCCTTAGCTAGTTGTTGTTTTATGGATTTTTGTGGTATTTTAAAAGAATTTTGTTCTTTATGAACAGCTGCCCAGATTCTTTTGGAGTTCTATAGCCTAGAAAAATAAATAATAAAAAACCAAAGAAAGAAATAAACAAATCAAGCCTGTTTATGGAATGAAGAAAAATGCAAAGGGCATCCAGATACCAGTAGTATCCAGTAGTATCAGGGTAGAAGTAGAAGGAAGGAAGGAAGGAAGGAAGGAAGGAAGGAAGGAAGGAAGGAAGGAAGGAAGGAAGGAGAAAGAAAAGAAAAGAAAAGAAAAGAAAAGAAAAAAGAAAAAAAAGGAAAGGAAAGGAAAGGAAAGGAAAGGAAAGGAAAGGAAAGGAAAGGAAGGAAGGAAGGAAGGAAGGAAGGAAGGAAGGAAGGAAGGAAGGAAGGGAAAGTCATTGCTTTATTTTCTTTTTCCTCCAATGGGAAAAATATTGCTTTTTATTATACGGAACAACTTCACCCATATCCACACCCACGCACACTTTCACTTTTTTGCTGTTAAAAGAGTTTGCCTCCCTTTTAAGGAAAAGGTTGCTTTGTAATTCTCAACAATGAGATACATGAAACTCAGTTTTTGAACTGGAACTGTGTGAGTTTTTCTTCTCTTCATTAATACAAGCACACATTTATATGACTGAATGTGTGCATGCACAAATGCCTATGCACATGTCCATACTTTGCAACTAGATCTTTAAAATGTTTCCAAGTTCAAATTATTTTTCTGTGGAATTAGAGTTTACATTTTTCGGTTGTATCAGAATAATGTGCATCAAATAGATGGATTATTGCTTTCATTCATAAACAGGTAGTTGTTCACATGTATACTTTGAAAAGTTAATATGTGTGTTCTGTACTCAAAGCAAGTAATTTCAGGAAAACAAAATAACACATTTTGTTATTTCTGATATGGAAATGAATAGATCACTATGTCAGAAATGCCAAATATGAATACAAATGTTCCCCTTGATTGATAGTATATTTTGGGAAAGTAAAGGATGTGTGTATTGTTTATGAACATATTCAGATGAAATATGTTTTAAAAAAAAATCCCTGCACAGCATTTCTACTAGACAAAGCCACATTTTCTGAAAACGTATTTCACCCACCCAACTTTAAAATATCCAATATCCAAAGTTCATGGCCACAATGAAATCCATTGCACTGTTATTCAGAATAAAACTTCCAAACATTTAGTTTATTTGTTTTCTTGGATTAAACCAGTGGTGGGATTCTGCCGGTTCTAGGGGGTTCGGCCAAACCCTTTGTTAAATTGCTGGCTCGCCCCGCCCCTTGCCTCACCCCTCCGCACTACTATTTATTGCCAATAAAATGGGGCGGGTGAGCCAACAATTTAACAAACGGTTCGGTGTTTTTTTGTAATTTATTGGCCCCGCAGCACACCGAACCGTTTGTTAAATTGCTGGCTCGCCCGCTCCTCGCCCCACCCCGCCTCCCACCCGCGCGGCGCCAGCCTACCCTAGCCAGGGGTAGGCAATTGTGGCTCTTTTACAACTTGTGGACTTCAACTTCCAGAATTCCTGAGACAGCTTGGCTGTCTCAGGAATTCTGGGAGTTGAAGGCCACAGGTTGTAAAAGAGCCACAATTGCCCATCCCTTCCCTAGCCCGAGTTCCGCTGCCTGGGATCCATGTGGGCTGCCACGTGGTTCCCCACCGGCTCCGGACGCAAGAGAGCAGGATGGAGAAAGCAGCTTGCTGGAGAACACGTGAATGGCTCCATGTGGTCTGCAAGTCAGTGGCTGCTGCTTCTGTCCCCTGCTGCTGCTTGCCTGGGAGAGAAAAACTTCCAGAGCATTAAACAAAGGTAAAAGGGAAGCAGGGGGAGGGGGGAGAGAAGGACAGAAAGAGGCTTTAATTTGCTTTGCATTGGAGGCTGGAGGCTTTTTGTTTTCATTCGCTCCATGTTCCTCCAAAAAAACAAAAAAAAAAAAACCCGATCTGATCTGGAGCCGAATGTCATTAGAAGCAATGCTGTCAACTTGGAGCATTTCATTTCAGTCTTCCAAATGGGCAATGAATTGAACCTCCTCCCCTAAAACAGATGCAATGTGGGTTGTTTGTTTGTTTTAGCAATGTGGATTGTTTTCCTAGGGCAGGGGTCTCCAACCTTGGCAACTTTAAGATTTGTAGACTTCAACTCCCAGAGTTCCTCAGCCAGCTTTGCTTTGCTTTGCTGGCTGAGGATTTCTGGGAGTTGAAGTCCACAAGTCTAAAAGTTGCCAAGATTGGGGACCTCTGCCCTAGACCATTTTAGGAGCAAAGCAGTAGGTTTCGCTGGCATTTAAGGAGGAAAGGAAAGGAGGGAGGAAGAGAGAGACAGAAAAGAGAGAAAAAGAAAGAAAAAGAAAGGAAGGAAGGAAGGAAGGAGGGAAGAAAGGAAGGAAGGAAGGGAGAGAGAGAGAAAGAAAGAAAGAGAAAGAAAGAAGAGAAAGGCAGGAAGGAAGGACCACAAACCATGGCATTAGACGTGGTTTCAGAAGATGCTTTGAAACAGGATAGCAATCTAGGGCTGGAAGGGACCTTGGAGGCCATCTAGTCCAACCCCCTGCTCCAGCAGGAAACCTTATATCGTCTAGATTGTTTTGGTGCCTCCAACAGAGAGGAAAATTGCCAGAAAGGAAAAGGAGTTTACTAGGACAAGGCTGACATGTGGAGGAAGGCAGAGATAGTCCTTGACTTATGACCACAATTGAGCACAAATTTTTCTTTGCTAAACAAGTGCGTTGTTAAGTGAGTTTCACCATATTTTACTCAATCCATGACCTCTCCTGGCTCTAACAGTCATGTGCAAGCTAGATAGGGAAGAATATCTGAAGGTGTGTGTAATGTTCTAAATGTATAGAAGTTATAATTAAATGTGTGGCAGAAAGTGGATTCTGGGTGTGTTTTTCCAAATGTAGTAAGTGAGGTTGAATGTGTATAGTTTTAAAAGAGCTCTCTGTGTGTACATACACATACAGTATATATAGTAGGTAATGTATCCTTTTGTGTGCCTATATACACTCTCTACTATGTAATATGTATGTGCACATATGGCATATGTACATAGGATTAAATAATATATTTTGGATGTTCAGTAGTAGTAAATAAATAGACAGGGAAATTGTATCTCGTTGAGGCCTTTGAGGTGAGGAGAGGCCAAGCACTCTAACCCTAACCGTTGACGTGAGTGATGTCAAGTTGGCCACGCCCACCCAGTCACATGACCATCAAACCATGCCCACCAAACAAGCCACACCCACAGAACTGGTAGTAAATGGACTACTCAGAGGGCTGAAAAAGTTATTTTTGACCGGTCCTCACACTTTTGACCAGTCCTTGAACTTACAACTGTCCTCACATTTTATGTTTTGTGCCCTATCTTGTCACCGTGGTGAAGAGAAGTAGTGGTGAAATGACTGACATGGTTGTTAAGAATGCTGCACGGGCATAAATGTGAGGATGGTCATAAGTGTGAGGACAGGTCAAAAGTGCGAGGACCAGTCAGAAATGACTTTTTTCAGCCCTCTGAGTAGTCCCTATGCACATAGCCACACCCACCCGGTCACATGACCAGCTAGCCACGCCTACAGTCACATGACCAGCTAGCCACGCCTACACAGTCACATGACCAGCTACCCACGCCCACCCAGTCACATGATTGCCAAGCCACACCCCCAACTAAGCCACGCCCACAGAACCTGTTGTTAAAAAAATTGAATCCCACCACTGGATTAAACAATGCTTCTCTGCCCAGAATTGCAGCCACAATTCATCGATTTGTTTACAAGATTAAAAGATAAATAAAAATATGATTTCAATATATCATTTTATTAGAAGTTTTAAAAATAAAGCTTTGCAAACGAATATGCAGCAAGGAAAAAAATTAAAGAAAAAGCTAAAAGTACAGGAAAGAAAGAAAAAGGAAAGGAAAAATGGGGGAGAAAATGGAAACGATAGAAGTAGCTTCCAATCTTCTTTACTGCAGTTATAAGTACAATTATAAATTTACCTCTTTCTTAAAAATTACATCATGGCTTTATTTTTTCTATAATCTTTCCCATCTAATCATTGAAACTATAAACTACAAGTTTATTTTTTTTCCTATTTTATACGAAAGGGTTTCCAGTCATCAAGAAATGCAGATATTGCCTTTTCTCTAAATCAAAGAAGTCAACTCAGTCATCTCAGCAAATTTTCAACAATCATTCCTCCCTTGTAGGTATTGCCAAACCATTCCATCTCCATGCATATAATCATTTGGCTACTGTTATCATATATGAAAACAAGGCTGCAGGACATTTTCAAGAGATTGCTGGCTGCTTCTTTCGGTTCTGTAAAAACTCCAGAAAAGGTGTTTTCAGGCACAATCTGGATTATCTATTCCACATTCTTAAAATGGCACTGCTAAGATAATGATTTTTGAAGTCTACATTAACTTTAACTTAATCATACCATAGTTAGCCATGCAACCGAAATCTCAAGTCATGCTCTTCTAATTGTTACATTCTCTTATTTCTTGGCAACATCCTTTTTTTTAAAAAAAACCACAATTCACCTTTACTTTAAATTGAGGGGACAGGATTGTTCCGATTCTTCTGTTTTAAAAATGCTAACAATTGTAACAGTAATTCTGTTCCAGGCAAAAGGATTTTTCTTAGCCTCATATGCTATAAGGGGTCTATTAGTCAGGGTCCTTACACCCAGTTAGCATTAGTCATTCAAGGTCAGCCTTGGAATGAAAAGATTATGTGTACAGATAGGCATTCAAGAGGTAAATCTTCAATCACTTGACAGAGATGCCCCAATCAAATTCTGCCTACTGTGAGGTGAAGCAAAGCTTGTCTAGCATGTTATATTAAAGCCAGGGGTTCAAACTGCAATACAACATGCTTCAAAAATTGAATTTGCACCAACTGATTTCTTTATTTCTCTGTCTTGTTCAGTTTGCAAAGTCCCTTCTCCTTTTAACTCTGCTGTATTGAATTTCCTGAATCTGCACATTATACAATGAACCATAAACTAATCACACAAGATGGCTTCAGACACCCATTATTCATTCATCAATGTGTCACACAGACATAATTTTTCTCCCTCGTACCCACCTTAACTTGACTTGTCTCAGAGGATTGTTGTGCAGTCAATATAAGAAGAACAATGTGTATTCCCCTGCTTTGTTAAACAGGATAAGAAGTGTGAAGTTATTTAATAAAATATTTTATTATTCATGTCTTCCCTGGTGGGGATAAACCTTTACAAATGAACAAAACAATATTGTTACATAACTATTCAATTGGTTGTATATTAAAAGAGAAAAATGGTAGGATAATGGTTGGAGCAAGCCTTCCTTAATCTGGCATCTTCTAGATATACTGCAATAATTTTACTATTTCTTTATGCTATGGAATCTGGTGATTATAATTCCATACTTGAACTAGGGACTATATGAGGCCCGTCTTCATTTCAAACTATAATGTAACTGGCTTTTACAAATATGCAAAATATTCCAGTCTGTGAAATTCCTGAATATATTATTTTTTTATCATGATCATGCTAACCAAATATTCCCAGGTAATCCAGCAGCTCTCCAAAGGTAAACCTTTTGGAATCAGAAGGGTTTTGTATCACTATTTCTGAAACATTTTTACAGAGCAAAAATGGAACATTCCAGAGTTTTGGAGATCATCCATTCCATTAAAGATATGTTTTGTACATGACTTCTTGCTTCAAAAACTATACGATAAGTGGCCATATAAGTTCTCTAAATAAATAAAATAAATTCTGAATGTAGAAAAAGGACCAATGAATGAATTTGAAATAAAGAATAATTATATGACTCAGAGTTATGAAGCAGCTTGCCTCCAGGAATTGTGGGTGCTTCATCATTGGAAGCAAAGGTTGGACAGCCATTTGACTGTGCTGTTCTGAAGAATTTTGCCCTGGACCGGGGAGTTGGATGAGAAGACTTCCAAGGCACCTTGTAACCTACAATCCTTTGTTAAATTTTGGAGGTGATTCAACAAGAACATAAAATACTATTTTATATGCTCAGAAAATGAGTGATAAAATATTGACTTACCTGAACAAGCTTATACAGCAGGAGTTCTCTTATTTCTTAGTATTACAAGCCATTGCATTATGACCCTGTTTCTTCAAGGTTTATCATATGTTATCTGTTGATTCACACTTGAATACTAAACAGTGACCTGAAGTCTACTTAATATTCTATTGAGGAGAAACTGAATCCTCTACTTATAATTTCCAAGTGGCTAGACTATTTGCTTGATAAAAGCATCCGTTGTTTTCATTGACCAAGCATCACAGTTGATCTTCCAACCATTCCATTCATACATCTGATTAAAAATCTTTTCTGAAAATGGCATGCTTTTGTGTGTGTTCAACATTCACAAAGCTGTCTTATCTGAAAGATGGGTGACAGTGTTAACAGAAGGTGACTACAAAAGCTTTGTAACATCTGCAAGAAAATATCTTGTCCAAACACATCTTTCGTAAACACTGAGAATACTTCACATTTACTAGAATAAATAGAGAGTTATAACTCAATTACACCCACGCTCATTGGGCTGCTTAGAATGACCCCTTCTTGTTGATGAATGATCAGGAAAATAAAATGCCACATGGGCTTTGAAAGAATAAAAGACTATATTCATTCATCCTACAGACATAAGTGTTCTTAAAATGACTTTGCCATACCTGTGAAGGTTTGTTACACTGGCAGCCTGGTCTTCACCCAAAAAAATAAATGGAGTAATAGTAGGACAACTTCTACGAGGGCCAGTTTTAAAGAAACATAGCCAAAGGCAT